GCCCTGCACTGATTGGATTCATCCCAGAGACAAGTAGATCATGATACTGCAGAGGAGATAAGGGACAGGATTGCAAAAAAATCCTTGAGTTAGTAATGCAGTGTGGAATCCAGTGTGAACATAAATATGGAAACAGAGAGCTCTCCCTAAGACAAGAGGTCAGAGGCTGTCAAGGGTCAGCGTGTGGGAGTTTGGAAACTTGGTGGTGATGAAGCTGACCTTGTGCCTCTCTGATTTCTCTGACCATCTCCAAGAAATGTTTGAGGCCATTGGTAGGGTGGGACCATTTCCTAACATGGAACTATTCATCCTTAGAATCCTCCCTATCATTCTCTCAGCACGGTGTTCACTTGTGCACAGACAATTTAACTAATGAAATACTTTTGATTCCTATATATATTGTAGGAACTTCACAGAATGAATTCATAAACTTGATAATCTTTCCTGTATTTTGAGAAAAATTAATATGTAAGAAATAAGCATTTATTAATGATACAAGAAATCAACCAGGCTTAGTGACACCTGCCTGAAATTGAGACACTTAGGGGGGCTGAGCTGGGGGATCACTGTGAGTTCAAGGCCAGCCTGGGCTACATTCTGAGTTCAAGGCCACCATGAATGGCATAGTAGCACCCTGTCTCAAACAAATAGGGTAATAATAAAAACAATAATTCGATAGTAAATGTACTATGTCCATTAATTTTACACCCACTCTTTGAATATGATAATGAGAAGTGGCTGAAAGCAGTTTCTCATCAACTTCTTCCGTCTCTTCCAAGGATATTCTTTATTCAACTTTTCCTAAGATTCTTGGGTGAAATGTGGTACTTTACATGATCTTACAGTTATGTCTATTTCCTTGACTTGTTACATCAATGTAAAATTTTATATGTTACCCTACTCTTTATGACACCACGCATCTGTAATAAATTTCCCCTTCTCAATTTTGCACTGAGTATTGTACTGTTTGTAGCTAGAGTTAAGAGAACTGTTACACCATTACACCCACTCTTTGAATATGCTTCAGGGGCCAACCACAGAATGTTATAAAAACACAGATTTTCTGTTATATCACTCTAAGTATGTTATTCTGAGACAAATGGATAAACTCTGCTTTCTGTGTGCAATACTTCACTCTATTGGCAGATTTCTGGTCAGGAAGAAGTAAAGAAAGACTTGTGTTTCAGATGCTAATTGTTATGCCCTAAACACTTGTATTAAATGTCTACCAATATTGACAACAGACCTGTAGAGATTCACTTTCAAAAGACACTAACAAGTCTTAAATTATAAGACTGCCAACACGAAAAAAGAAGAAAAACATAAACTAAGTGAGGCTTTTCACATTTGCAAGGAATATCAACAGAGATTATAGTTCAACATCATAATGTGATTTTTATGTAGTTCACTAATAAGAGTTTGATATTTGAGAATACAATCCAGAAAATTTAAATTTGGAACCATTTCATTCCTTACACTTTTGTCAACTATTCGTTCCTAAAATAAGTAGGAAGAATTTGTGAAAGCCACCTCTGCTGTGTCTTTTATGTTTGTTATCCCTTGAACCTTCATCTTTTAAGGCAATCATTCTTGCTATCGTCACTTCATACTTGAAAAAACTGAGGCTGGGAGAGTACTAAGGAATTTGCTAACATTCTGGAGTAGCAAGAGAAATAAGAGTTAGGGCATAAACCCACACATGAAGGACCTTCCTTGCCCCTTAAAATCCACCAAGCTGCCTCTTTTATGAAATCCATCAAAATTAAACAAATCATGGTATGGGAAGTAGGGAGGGCCAGCATCGAGCAATAAGCATAGTTTGTTCTAGGTAAAAGAGGCCTAGGAAGACATTAATTTCCCTAGATACTAGGACCAATAATTTTGGAAATGTGAAGGATTCCTCAATGTCAGAAACTTTCTCACATGTCTTATATTTTCTTAGTTTCCCTAAAATCACTAGAAATTTAGTCAAATATGTGACAGTAACTAAAATCTTGCATGTGTTTTACAGAACCCCGGGGAAGTCTGGGAAGACTGGAAGGCTTACACATTGCAGCTGGCTTGTGGCTCTGGGGGAAGGAAGCTGTCTGGAAGAACGTGCAAGAAGGGACTCTGATGTTCTCCTTTTGGGCCCTCAAAATGTTCACTACCCCACATTCAGAGAAAGAGACATAGCAGTCAGGAATTGCATGCTGATCATTTTATTGGGATATTGAAGACACAGTTATGATGACATGGGTCCAAAGGCAGAGCAGGAAGATGTCATCTTCTCAATCCTTTTCTGAAACAAAGAAACAAAGGCACAAGAAAGGTTACACTTAAGACTGCCATGGCAGGAGTTTTCGCATCCCTTCTTGCTGGGCTCACTGCAGCGAGGTGGGTGAGAGCACAGCCCCTCTTCCTCTTTGCCTTCCCCTCTCTTTCTTCCTACCAATTTCCCTTTCTGTACTCCTCTTAAGTATCTAGCAAACACTGGGCTCTAACTTCTTGCTTATAAGATGAAGGGAAGATTGCTCAAACCATTATAGACAATAAGAAAATAATTCCTCGATAACACATTAGAGATAATACAGAGTAATCTTTCATTCTTACATCTGGTAATCTAAGTAATGTAGTTGAGGATAGCGATATGTAATGTAACAACCACTGCTGATTCATATTATTTTGTCTTGAGACTCTGTACCACTTTGAATTTTCTTGTTTTGATTTGCTTATGTTTGTGATACTGGTATGCTGCTACTGTTCTATTTCTTAGTTTCTCATTTACTACTTTCTTTAAAATAAAAACATAAAAATACATGAAGGGAAGAAAAGCTGATTTTACGTTGTTTATCTTTTCATTGCTATTGCAAACATTCTAAAGTTCTAAAGATGATCCATGCAACATTTCCTATAATAGTGAAAACTGAAACCAGCCGATCTACTGACAATGTCTTGTTTAAAGAAATTACACAGAGCCTACAGTGGAGTAATGTCACTGAAACAAAAGGAAAGAAGAAAGAAAGATAAAGAAAGAAGGAAAGAA